TCATAACTGCATACCAAAAGAAATAAAGTAAAAGATTTTTCTATAAAAAAATCAATTATTTTAAATATAAATCCAGAGATTTTTATTTTTTATTTATCTTTATTCTCTTTCAATATGTCAACTTATAATTATAAATCTTCAAAATATCATAAAGTATCATCAAGAAATAAATTAAAATCAGATAAAAGTGATATAACAGATAAAATTGATAAAATTGATATTGATGATGTAATTAATAATGATACGATAAACACACATTTACTGTTATTAAAAATATTTAAAACATTGAGACATAAAGATGATAAGACAAATAAATTATATTTATCCGAAGCTTTAAAAAGATATATCACATGGATGAATTTATTAAATGATAAATTTAGTAATGATGATGATGATATCCCCATTTCACCAATCGATGTATGTCAAATCTGGCATGCACATTTATTATTACCTATTAAATATTTTAAAGATATAGAAGAATTATATAAAGAAGAATATAAATTTCCACTTGATAAAATACATAAAATCTGGAATAACAGTAATAATAATGAATATTTATCCTCATTGAAATTTTGGGAAAAACATACTAATCAACCATGGATTCTGAATATTCAAAACGATTCACCATTTTCCTTAAATCTTGTAAATGCTGTAATTCGTCAATATAAATTCACGGATAAAATAATTAATGATTATAATACTGATAAACCTATGGACCATTCAAAAGCAATCGAAAAATATAAAAAATTTCTTTTATTGGTTAAAAATAATGAAAAAAATCTTGTTCCGACAATAGATATAGATCTTTGTTGGCATACACATATGCTTCATGCTATCGATTATCGTGATTTTACAAAAAAATATATGGGCAAAATCATCAATTATGATGATAAAATCTCTGAATCTATTCTCTCTGATAATTTTGATAAAACTTCTGATATTTGGTATAAAAATTTCAATGAATTATATATTGATGAAAATTTCAACAATAACAAAAAAAATAAATCTAAAGATTGTGGTATGACTGGTACTGGTTGGTGTATGGGATAAATGATTGTTATATTTCATATAATTAAATATGTATCAATTAAATATTATAATTAATTTTTTTTGTAAATATTAATTGATTTATATTTTCATAATAAAAATTTTATTCCGATAGAATATTCTAAAATACTTTGTCTTCCTTAATAATAATTCCAAAACAAAGTGGAAAAAATATATATTAATTCAATATTTTTCTGTGTGTAAAATATAAAAAAAAAAACAAAAATATGAATTCAAATAATCATCTCCATCAATATTTGATGACAAAAATTCCTCAAGCTAATATATTACAAACAAGAAAGAAAGTTTCTTATGTAAAAGTTGCATGTACTAATTGTCGAATTAAAAAAAGTAAATGTTCTGGTGAAAGACCATGTATAAATTGCGCTTGATATAATAATGAATGCGTATATATTGAATCAACTAAAAAAAGAGGACCAAAATCAAAGATTGTTTTTCCCACAATAGCAAATTTATTAAATTAAGATTAATTTTCATATTTAAAAAAAATTAAATAATTGTTTTTTTTTCTCAATTCATTATATATAAAAATATGATAAGATTTATTATTATTTTTTATGTATTTAAATAAGAAATAATATTTATCGATAAATAAAATAAGATTTATGGATTAAGGTTTTAATAAGTTTTCAAATTAAGTAATGTATTTTAATTTTTTATTCGTTAGATCAATTTTAATCACGTGTCTAAATTCTTGCTTTATAATTATAAATTTGAAAACTTTTTCTATTTTTACAATTTATACTATAAATTTTATCTTTCCTTTCTTGAGAATCTTTCAAATAAAAAATATATTTGTTTGGATACATCAACAAAAATAAACTTTCATGAAAAGGAATTTTGTCTCTTTTTTCTGTGATATTTCTACAAAATATCGTAGATGGTAGAACTGACATAACATTATCATCCTTATCATAAAATGATAATATTACGATTCTTCTTTCATCTATAGTTTGAACTTTTATTTTATAATCAATATTTGAAAATTCTTGAATATCATAATCATGGATTATTCTATTCTTTCTTTTCTTTAACCCCAATACACTCGTTGGAAACATAATATTCGACATTTTGATATAAATATAAAAAAAAAAATAATATATTTATATAAACAATATTATTAATTATTTTCATTCATAAATTATCAGAATAAAATAATATTTTTTTTTTATATTTTTATTTATCATAAATTAATAATGAAATATAGTATAAAAATAAATCATTTTAAAGTTGAAAAAAGATGTAAAATGATTCATTAATAAAAATATTAAATAATATACAAAAAAATATTATATCGAAAATGTTTTGTCAATTAATTTTAGTAATTTTAGTATTATTTCTCATATTAATTTATAAATTATATAATTGTATCATACTATACATTTTTTATAAAAATCAAGGAATCGAATTTATAAAATCTTATCCAATGATTAATAGTGAAATAAAACTGACTAAATTACTTTTAAAAAATAAAAGTCATGATCAATCACAAAATGATTTAATCGGAATATTTCGAGGTCTTTCAATACAATTATATGGAACAAACAAAAAAACGTGTCAAAAATTGACAGAACAAATCGGAAAAAATATAGATCGTAATAGTACCACAGCTTTATTTTCATTTGGAAGATTAGGTCCAAATTCTATCTCTTTTAGCGCAAGTTCTGAATATTGTTTCAATCAACGTAAAACTATATTAATTCATGTAATAAATAATAATATCGAATATTTATCTCAAATCGCTTATCGAAATACAAAAAATTTATTTATAAAAAATGAATCAAATCAAATCATTAATATTTCAGAACTTTTAACTGAATGGACTCAAAATACCACTGGTGAATTTATATGGGGCAAAGATATCACAAACTATAATGTTAATATTCTTGGTTCTAATTATAATTTAGAAAAAATGTGGATAATGAAATCATTAGATAAAAGTTTTCAAGACTTGTATAAACATTCTAAAAAGATTTGGAATAGAATTTATTTTCCTCTATCAAAATGGCCTATAACAATAAATTCATGCCGTCTTTTATATAATGTCAAAATCATTCAAAATAAAATAGAACAAATCATGAAATCTCAATTAGCAAACGAAACAAAATCAATAGCTATGGATATTTATCATAAAAATATCAAATTTAATATCTCTATTAATTCTATACGAGATGATTTAATCATTACAACATTATCAGGCTTGAATATAATCAAATTAACGATAATGTCTATTCTTTATCATTTGCTCGATGAAAAAAATAAAAAATGGAAAGTTTTGGTTTTAAATGAAATTAAATCTATATTCGGAAAAGAACTAAATTCATCAAAATTCGAATATAAAAAATTATCAGAATGCAAAATATTAAATGATGTAATATTTGAAGTTTTACGCTATGAATCAGCAAATTCACTACTTAATAACCAATCTATAAATGATTTTGATCTAATTATTGATGACAAAATATATAAAATAAAAAAAGGAACGTATATCATGTCCAATATATATCTCATTCATCATGATGATTCTTCTTGGCCAGATCATGATAAACCGTTAGAAACATTTGATCCATCTAGATTTATTGATAAAAACATCATAAATTCTAATTTCTTTCTACCTTTTGGTAAAGGTCCTCGATCTTGTCTAGGTCAAAAAATAAGTTTGTTGATGATTAGAATTTTTATAATAATATTTTTAATTCATAACCCAGAATGTAATTTGTTATTTAAACAAGATATCGATACAATCAATTTTACTTTAACAAGTAATGTAAATTTTGATATTATTCGTAATTCGAATCTATTATAAAATATATTATTTATTAAAATGAATAAAAATATATTTTATTTTTTTTTTATTTTATTATTGTTCAAAGAAATAAATACTATAACTTTAGCAAATAAACATAATACCTTTTCACGAGAAATAATACAAATGTTAAATGATTCTATTGGACAGAAATCATATGTAGAAGTTTATCCTCTTCATAATTATATTGATAATATTGATTATGGTGTAGTTATTTTTGGAAATCAAGTAGGTGGATATAAAAGAATAATAGTTCGTGGAATCAAAGCAAAATATATTAATAAAATACATGTTGAATTAATAATTTCGATATTGATAAGAAGATTAGGTAGAAATTGGAGAAAAAAATTAGTTATAGTTTGTCGAGATGATGTAATTGTAAAGGATGAAGCTAGATTAAATAAAGTAGTTTTTATTCGTTTATCAGATATGTTATATTTTTTTAGTCTTGAAATATAAATTCCAATTCTACTTAAAATTATAAAACATTTTTTTATTTGATTCTTTAATATTAAAAAAAAATTCGATTGAATAAATTAAATAATCTAAATATCTATATAAAATATTAAAATTCGCTTATAAATAATTTTTTATTAAATTTATCATTTGATTTATTTTATTAAAAAAAATCATCATGGGTTTCTGTGTCAGTTGCGTTATCGAAATAGATAATCATACTAATTATATATTAAAACCAAAAAGACGATATTTTGAATGGGGGTGAAGAAAAATTTATTATCAATATTAAAAATTACTTTGTTTAACGTATTTATTACTAACGAGACATGATTTAAATTATTTTTTATATGTGATACTGTAAGTATTGATAATACATATAATTGATATAATTATTCTATAAACAAACATATTTATCATTTCTTTTTATTCTAGTATTTATAATTACATCATGGTGAGTATTATTTTAGTTAATAATTCAAGATATTTATAAATACATCAAGTGTTTGATTTGTGAACATCATCTAGTTGTGCTTTTTTTATTCGATATCGATAACCAAGATATGTTAAAAAAAGTATACTAGATCACAAAAAATATTTCATGTTTGTAATATGGGAAACTACAATCTCGTTAGATTTTGAAGTGTTTATAGATGACTAACGTTGTTTATGAATACTTTGAATTTTTGTAGCAGTAGAATGAAATACGAAACGGAAAATTGCTTAACAATATATCCAAATCAAATATCTGGTATATTAAATACATCCTTTATTTTTATATTTATTAATTATTAATCATAAAATCAATAAATGTAGTTAAATATGTCCAGGGTAGAAACGATAGTTCTTCTGGAATACAAGGTTATTTTATCTATGATGTTCTTGACGAAAATATTAATAAGTAATTATATTTTAAATATTATCAAAATCATATACGAAATATTAATCTTTATAATTTTATATATTAAGAAAAATCTGTCAGATAAAATTGAAATTTAATATTCCATATAATACATATTCATATCTAAAATCTATAAATTACGAAATACTCGAAAATAATAATAATAATAATATCAAAATTAAAACTAAAGAATGTTGGGGTGGACATGGATATAGTCATAATACGTGTAGATTTACAATAGAATGATTGAAATTTATTCTTTATATTTATTATAAAAATTTAAATAAATTATCAATGAGATATATCAATATCCATAATCACATAAATATTATATAATATTTTATTAGTACGCAAATTTTTTATATCTATAACTTATATTAATAATATATATTTTTATTATTATCAAATATGTTTTTACCATCTGTATTGAATAAATAATTTTCACCTAATATATCTTTGAAATATGTATAATAATATCTACTGATAAAATGTTTAAAATTGTTAAGATTTACAGATTTGATGTTTCTACTTTCAAATATGATATTTATAGAATCTGTATTATCATTTAAATATTTTTTAATTTCAGAAGGTGTAACCATATTATTTTTTTCAATATCAATATCATCAAACATTTTTTTAATTTTTTCTTCTGTGTTCAATATAAACATAATTTTAGATCTTGATTTATTATCCATTTAATAAAAATCAACAAAAAATTTCATTAAATATTTATATAATTTAAAAGAAATAATCTTTATATATCCATATTTATAATATTTTTTTTTTAGAATAGAGTTTAAAAATAATTTTGGAAAAAAATATTATAAATATGGATATAGAAATATAATTTGGATAAAATAAAAAAAAAATAAATATGTCTAGTGATTTAAATAAAAAAAAAATAATTGTAGAAGAAAGATTATTAGGTGAAATTGGTGCTGGTTTTGGATCTATTGTCAGTAGAGGTCTTGGTTTAGTTCTTGGATCTGTAGGTGGTCCACTTGGATCTAGCTTTGGATCAATTATCGGCGGTGGTGTTGGTGCTGGTGTTGGTGGAGTTTTTGGTGCTGGTATTGAACACATATTCAATTCAAATATCCAAAATATCCAAAATAGAAATCTTGAACAACGAAAAAATAAAAAATTTAAATATATTTGTGAAAATGTTCAAATTCTATTACCTAAAAATATTATAATCAATTCTAAAAAAATGATTATTCAACCTATTAAAAAGAAAAATAATCAAATAGATAAAATTAAGAAAAAAAATCGTAAAACATTTGAATTTGAAACTTTTGATAAACGGTTTAGCAATGATAATTAGGTAGATTAGATATAACAGAAAAAAATTTGTAAATTCATCATAATTACAAAAGTCCAAATGATTCGATTAACAAAATCGAATATTTCAATTATATCAAAACTAAAACAAATAAATTATTTTTTTCGTCATTATTATTTTTTTTTTTATGTTGATTATTTTAAAATTAAGTATTGAATAAAGGATATATAAATATTTATGTCGTGACCGATGTTAATCTGTAATACATAAACAAAATAAAAAATATTTGGTTAGTACGATGTGACGTTCAATAAATAATCTGCGGAATGTGATTATCTGATGCATTAGTACCCGCCGTAGTGTATTTGAACCAATTATTCTTTTTAAGTATACTTTTAATAGTAGTTGCTATTTGAATAAGAAATAAAAAAATATCAGCCGTTGTTGTAGATTTTGATTCAACTATTTTAACAGCATTTTTAGCAGGTAATAATATTTTTGCTAAAACTTCTGCATTTGTCCAAAATTGACAATTTCGTGTTAAATTTTTTAATTCTTGTATTAAAGCTAAATTATCATTTTCTAAAATCTAATTATAATTTAATAATTTATTAGTTTTTATTATAAAAATATATACTATATATATATAACAATAAAATATAATTACCTGTTTAATACAAATTTCTGTATTAAGAACAGATTGCATACAATCATATGCAGATAACTAATGTGAACAAACAAAACTTTTTAATCCACTTTTGTTTATTATAAAATGATTTATTTCATTACGTAAAATTGCTCCAGATTAATGAAATGTATAAAAATATGTTACATAAGATTAACATTGTTGTAATACATTTTTTTCAAATGAAGTTTTACAAATAATATTATTGCAAATTAATTGAATATAATGTGCAATACACCGAACAGGTAAGATTGCTAGATATTTTTCTGAAATATATTGTTTTGCAAGTGTCATAGCAAAAGCACTATCTGAAACTATAGCTCCAAATTTATTTTTTTTAAATTTTCAACTCATAGGTTGAGGTGAGGTCTTGCCTCTATCTTTATTTTTGTAAAATATAGTTAAGAGTTTACATGAAACTATCTGGTAATAAATTACATGCAAGAATTGA